TTGGGAAACTCGATTGAGAAATCCTTCCGACACCAAAGGTTTTTGACGGATTTCGGCATGCGCGCGCGAAGAAGGGTGCGTGTGCACTTCGTCCCACATGTTGCAAGGGATTAGCGAAAAAGTCTTATGTTAGAGCCAAAACATGTCCCCGCGTATTGTTTTTTACACAGGAACCTCAGGGGGAGCGATACCAGCCCCCCGGGGATAGTGCAAATTCATATTTAGGATGGACATGTGGTCAGAATCCTATATGACTCACATACCCGAAACGGGGTACGAATAACGCCCGGGGGGGGTAGAGTCTATTCTCCCAGACGATGGGCGGCGACGAGGCGGCGACGGGGTGGCGACGGCGACAACAAAGCCGCCCGACCGCTACACGGGCCCAGACGACGGGCGGCATCGAGGCGGCGACGGGGCGGCGACGGCGACAATATAGCCGCCAGACCGGCACACCAGCCCAGTTCGTTGGAGAACAATCGAGGACCCCGAAGTGCCAGCACGGAATCTGTCTCCGCCAGTGTGCCTGCACGGAGTGTGCGTGTTAGAATGATCCTCTGTTGTCTGGCACTTTTTTGTGTTCGTGGGGCAGATACTCCTCCCTTCGGCCTAACGAGGTTTAAACAATGACTTCTGTGGATTTGCTCTCTGGCACTTTTGTCGGCCTCGAGACGGCCAGGTCAGCCTCCAAGCCGGCTTCCAAGAAAACCAAGATGGTAACAAGACGGCCCAAGATCTAAGATGGAACTGGCCAAGATCAATCAAGAGGCTCCCAAGATGGCCTCAGGCCTCAAGGCAGCCCAGGAGACCTCCACCCAAGAGGACTCCAAGAGGCCCCCCTGGAGAGCCCGAGGAGGCAAACGCTATTGATGTCCCGTACATGTTTCAAGGACTTGAGGCTCTCCGCTCTGGGTCTGCGAGCTCTCAAGATGGCCCAAGAAACCTCCGATATAGCTCCAAAGCAGCCCCAGAGGCCCCCAAAAGAACCAAAGTCGGCCCAAGACACCCCCGCGAAGCCCCAAGGGGCCCCCAAGAGGCCCCCACGAAGCCCCAAGAGACCCCCAAGAGGCCCCCAGGAGGCCCCCAAGTGGCCCCCAAGAGGTCCCCAAGCAGCCCCCAACAGGCACCCAAGACGCCCCAAATATTATCTGAAGACCGCCGAGAGGCCGCCAAGACGTCCCAAAATGCTTCCAAAACCCCCACGGCGCCCCAAGAAGCAGCCAAGAAGCGACCCAGACCGCCCCAAGAGGCATCCAAGAGACGCCGAAAGGCATCCGAGAAGCCTCTGGCCCATTGAGGTTCCCAGGGCGTCCCAAAAGATGCCACGCTCCTCCGACGAGGGCAGCTGCTCCGGGCAGCTTCCCTGGGCAGCGTTCCTGGATGGGCTAGTGGGGATACTTGTTTTTTTCGGTCGCGGCCGCGAGCGAAGAGCGCAGGCGGCGACAGAAGCTGTCCGGGGCACGGAAACAGACCTAATTAGTTGCAGGGCGCGGAACGGGCCGGCCGGGCCAGCTCACAAAGCGGCCGCTGGGGCAGCAAGCTAGTGGGAATACTTTTCCGGTCACGGCCGCGCGACAACGGTCTGGCGGCGAGAGGCAAAGTCCGGGGCAAGCGGCACGATGCGAACTTGCGAACACAGCCGCCACGTTGGCAAGCCGGCTCGCACCTGCACAACAAGTGCGCAAATGCACATGCACAGAACAAAATGATCTAAATCCACAAGCAAACGCACATAGGACCCGCAGTGCGAACCGAAGTGAGCAAGCGGCAGAGTGTGCGAGTGCAGCGGAGTGAGTCGCCGGTACGGCGCCAAACTCCAAGCCGCCGGCCCAGCTGGTTGGGAAATTAATACCCGGAAAGCCGGGCTGACCGCAGTGGAAAACGAGGGGCAAAGCGAGCGCGGAAGGCGGAACCACTCAGCGCTCAGTCCTCAGAATCCTCCGCTCAGCTGGGGGGGGCCAACGGCACCAAACGCATCGAGTCCGGCGCCTGCGGCGGATAGGCCCAAGGGTGGACGCGACGATGCGCGGGGGAAACCACAGGCTGTACAGAGGCTGCAACACTCAGAGCAAGGCCCTCCGGGGCACAACTCCTGCCGGTGGAAGCCAAAAAACTAGTAGGGATACGCGAAGCGTTAAGAATTCGAAGTCTTTTTCTGCTGCTCTGTTGCACAGGCACGGTGGCGGGGTTTGCCGCAGGCAGCTGGGTCTACATCAAAAGACTGCACTGGCGCTTTGCGCCATGCACCTTGGTACTTCCATTTCGGCATGCGGGCGGAATGAGACTGAAAAGAATCGGTAAAAGCAACGATAACTCATCATTGCCATTTTCGTCATCGTCGCTGCAACGTGTGTGTGTGTGTGTGTGTGTGTGTGTGTGTGTGTGTGTGTGTGTGTGTGTGTGTGTGTGTGTGTGTGTGTGTGTGTGTGTGTGTGTGTGTGTGTGTGTGTGTGTGTGTGTGTGTGTGTGTGTGTGTGTGTGTGTGTGTGTGTGTGTGTGTGTGTGTGTGTGTGTGTGTGTGTGTGTGTGTGTGTGTGTGTGTGTGTGTGTGTGTGTGTGTGTGTGTGTGTGTGTGTGTGTGTGGTGTGTGTGTGTGTGTGTGTGTGTGTGTGTGTGTGTGTGTGTGTGTGTGTGTGTGTGTGTGTGTGTGTGGGTGTGTGTGTGTGTGTGTGTGTGTGTGTGTGTGTGTGTGTGTGTGTGTGTGTGTGTGTGTGTGTGTGTGTGTGTGTGTGTGTGTGTGTGTGTGTGTGTGTGTGTGTGTGTCTGTGTGTGTGTGTGTGTGTGTGTGTGTGTGTGTGTGTGGTGTGTGTGTGTGTGTGTGTGTGTGTGTGTGTGTGTGTGTGTGTGTGTGTGTGTGTGTGTGTGTGTGTGTGTGTGTGTGTGTGTGTGTGTGTGTGTGTGTGTGTGTGTGTGTGTGTGTGTGTGTGTGTGTGTGTGTGTGTGTGTGTGTGTGTGTGTGTGTGTGTGTGTGTGTGTGTGTGTGTGTGTGTGTGTGTGTGTGTGTGTGTGTGTGTGTGTGTGTGTGTGTGTGTGTGTGTGTGTGTGTGTGTGTGTGTGTGTGTGTGTGTGTGTGTGTGTGTGTGTGTGTGTGTGTGTGTGTGTGTGTGTGCGTGCGTGCGTGCGTGCGTGCGTGCGTGTGTGTGTGTGTGTGTGGTGTGTGTGTGTGTGTCCGTCTCCTTCCCTCACATGTCCCCTTCCTCTTCGTAGTTCTCGCCTCACCCTACGAATCCTTCCCCGACCTCATCAGCTCTTGTTTGTGGAGGATCTTCCTTGCAAAGCCCCTTGGACGGACACTTGCTGGGGGCTCCTTGTGGGCTTCTGGAGGCATCGTGGGCGACTTGTTTGGGCCTCTGGGGGCTTCTTCGGGCCACCTTGCTGCGAACCTTTGTCTTTCTCAACGACCGAGTCACGACGTGGAGTGCCTCGGGGGGCGGCATGGGGCTGCTTTGGGCCATCACGGGGCGCTCGGCGGGCCCTCTTGGGACCCTGTTGGACCGTCTTGGGCCTTTCTTCTGCACTGCGTACGAGCTCTTTGTCGGTCGATGTGGGGCGAGTTTCGGCGGTCTCGGGCACCAAGTCGGCCGAAGAAACGAGCACCCAAGAATCACACAACGACAGCTGGGGAATCTTCATGTTTTGCGTTTGGAGGGCCTCTCAGGGTGTTAGATGTGCCGTCCTTGGGCGTCTGGTGAGTGTCTGGGGCCGCTGGAGGCTCCCGCGAGGCCGTGTGGCCACCCTCTTGACCGCTCTGGGCCCGTTTTCGGAGGCCAGCAGGGAGGTCCAAGAAGTCCAGACGGCCAAGGGTGCGCCCTGCATGGGACGTCCCGGAGGCCAGGGGAGCCGCTATTCCTGGGCCAGGGCTCGTGTGCCTTCCATCCAAGGTCCCCAGCTTTATATAGAAATACATAGATAGGAATACGCGTACACAACCGCGTACCACGCACTACGCGTAACTTCGCCGACCGATAGCTAGCCGTAGACGTGAGCATCCGTGAGCAGGCTCCGATCTATACATGTATATATGTATATATATATGCATGTATGTATGCATGTGTATATATAAACATGTGCATACATATATATCAAAAACCAGCAAAGTAAAGACATGTACGTATCTATGTACACAAATGGCCAGGTCTGGAGACCTTCAGTATAAACATGTGGACATAGATTGGGGGGAGGGTTTTGCTTCCGACACCTTCCGCCGAACTTCCGCCAGCGGAAGCGCCTTCGTTTTACTTCCGTCGCCTTCCGCTTGCCTTCTGCCGAGGAAGAGATGTCAGCTGATCGATCCCTCGAAGGTGAGATCATTTCTTGAACACCGCGCATGAACGTGTGCAAGTGCGTGATTGTACACGAGCATACGTATCTGACGCATGTTCAGTATTGATTCGCGCGTACGCATCACAAGTTAACATCGATTGAAACGTATGCAAATAGCTTGCGCTGAAACCGAGAACGATCCACGCGCATGCCCACTAAAGACATATGTGGATTGTTGCAAGCCATAAGTCATGTTGAACAGCTAATTGTGTGTGCATCTGCGAATTCTGCATCGTATGGAAGCGGGCAAGTCCACTTGCAAGCTGTGAGTCGTGAGCACGTGTCTCGTGTACGAGAATTGCACGTCATACAACGTCCATCTCATGCAAATATCACACGGGCATGTCAGATTCACGCGCAGACATTTACTCAATGCATATACCTGTGTACTGTATATGTACGACGGGGCACCGTATAGTCCAAATAACGCGGAGATAAAAGAGTGGGTGCGACCTGAATGATACAGAAATCGTGGACATTCAAGGAGCCATCCCGCGGCGGGCCACGCCAGACATCTGGCGGGAACACGATATGGCCCAGCAAATTCTCCGGAACCTTTCGCAGAATACAGGGAGGCAGCGGCAGCTACGCCCAAGACACACAGTTGGCCAAGCCTACGTCGAACTCCGAGGCTACACATTTGAATTTCAGGTCTGGCGGCCCCCCGAGTGGCACACCTGCCCGCGCTGGGGCGCCGCTGGTGCTGGGGCGGCGCGGCGGACATGCCGTCGGCGGGTGGGCGGTGGGGTCGCGCGGGTGCGAGAGAGGCGCGAGCCGAAAGGAGCTGGCATGTCACGCTACGGCGGAGAGCATCAGAGAGAAAGAGAGAGAGAGAGAGAGAGAAAGAAGCAGGAGTGGACAGAGGGAAATGTGCGGTGTCTGTGCGGTGCAGTGCTGCGCAGCCGTCGTCCGCCAGCAGGCCGCGCGCATGTCAACGTGGATGTGACTCATGTAATGATTGTTCTCGCCCTGTGCGGCGCAGCTCTGCATGGCGCGGCTACTGGTCCTAGACGAGTTGAACTGGGCCGATTGGCCCTAGAAAGAGCCTGCCCTCGACAGAGAATCGGGGAAGAATGAAAGGAAAGAGGGGGGTGCAGAGGGAAGATGAGGATGAGGATAGTGAAGATGATGATGAATAGGAGAAGGATAAGAGGAGGAGGAGGAGGAAGAGGAGGGGAAAGAGGCGGAGAGGAAAACAACGAAGAGGTGGCGGAATGGGCACGAGCCTCCCTGGAAGTATCGTCTCCAGGTCCTCGGAGGTCTCCGAAGGTCGCTGGAGCTCTCTGGATGATGTCTCTGGAGGCGGAGGAGGAGGAGGAGGAAAAGAAGGACGACATGGAAGAGGACGAGGAGGACGAGGGGCGTGAGCTCGGAGAGGCCACGGCCGCCTGCTCAACCGCCGGGATCTGGTGCTGCAGCACCTTAGCCTGGCCCTGCTCCTCGTTCTCCCCCATCACCTGTCGGGGAGGTGGTCAAGGGAGGGGCATAGTCCACGTGCGATCTCGATCCTGACACATGTGTTTCCCATCCCAACGATGTGAAAGGGGATTGCTCTCTGCTGAAGCCAGCAAGGGATGAAGAGGAGAAGGACGAGGAGGAGGACGAGGAGGAGGAAGAGGAGGAGGAAGAGGAGGAAGAGGAAGAAGGAGGCTGCGCTTGCCCGCCGGCGGTCGGAGGGAGGGGTGAGGCCGGAGGGGGAGCTAGAGGGAAATCGGAATGGGCAACCCCCGTGAATCCAGGGAACTGCCTGCCTCCAGCTGGGCTCGCTTCCAGACCCCGCCGTGGGGTGTGCACGCCTGCCAGGTACATCCAGAACGATGGGAACGGTGAAAAATAGTCCTGAAGCTCAACGGTGATCGTTGTCCCAAAACCGTCAGAGATCGCTGTTGGGCAATCGAAAACGTTGCCCATCATCCAGCTGTTCAATTCCAGCGGCAATCGAATTTGCACGGCAGGCTTGCGAGGGGACAGCCTGGTAGTATGTCTAGAGCATAGGTGCTCGAATCTGGGCGAGTCCACAGTCTTCTGCCCGACGCTTCGGGCACGCCGCGTCTCAGAGGGCGCCCGCGCCCAGTGGAACGCCTGCGTGCACGCTCGAGCTCCGGCCGTTGCAGGGCACAGCCCCGACAGATCATCTGCAGATCGCAAGACCTGCTGCGTGGAGAGGCCCGGGAAGTGCCACGCAGCTGCTGCGGACCCTTGGTCTGCACCGCGACTCTGCTCGAGCTCCCGCCCCCTCCTCGGGGGCGGCCAAGAGGGGGGCGTCCAAGAGGAGGGTGCAAATCATGACCAGCAGCATGTGCGCGGCCCAGGGGGGGGGGGACGTAATGAAATAAGAATAGGCGCCATGAAAACTGAGGGAATATCGTGGCCCACGCCATGATATCCCCCCCCCCTAGTCATCACCCCCCTCTTTGCCGACCCCGACCTCCCCCTCCCCCTCGGGCTCGAACAGATGACATCAAAGTCGAGGATCGACGTTGCCATCCCCCCCCAGGGGCGGTCGCCTCCGGAGGAGTCTTCAAGTCAGGGGGTTATGTAAAAAAGTAAACGGGCAGACAGGCACTGCGGGCGGAGGACTCCTGCCCAGGAGGCGAGGCAACTGTGTCCCCCAGCGCCCTCTCCTCCTTTGCCTCCTGTGCCGTCCCTCGCGCTTCCCTGGGGCAGAGCATCCAGTGTTCGACTCCCGAGGCCATGCAGTCGCGCGCTCTGCACGCTGATTGTTCGGAGCTTTCTTTCCGGCACGCGAGCATGGCCCGGCCTCTTTAGCCGTCGCGCAGTCCAGGCGCGGCTCTCTGTGTGTGGCCGCCGTTGAGCAAGCGACGCTTGCCCCAAACGGACCACGTCTGCAGCGACACCGACCGTGAACCTTGCTCAAAACTGGACGGGAACTGGTGGTGGTATTCATCCCACCCCTTTCTGTCCCCAAGTACGGTCCTCCAGACACGAAGCCCCGAACCAGGCAGTGCCTGCGGCGAGGAGCGAGGGGGGCAAGCGAGAAGGAGAAGGCCTTCTCAGGGGGCGGCGGGGCTTCTCAAACCCCCTCACGCCTTCTGACAGGACTTGGGTCTTTTTCCGCGAAGGCTGAGAAAACAGCTCCGAAGGCCAGCCCCGCAGGCTGTCCCGTAGAGATTGCAGCCCCGAAGCAAGGCAGACAACAGAACTAGGAATTCAAGAAAAGAAGCGGAACCGCGACGCGGCATGAAACAAAACAAGGAACACCCTGGAACAGCAGGAGGAAGATCTTGGACAAATCGGTCGAGAGATCTGGGGAGTGCGGTTGCAAAGCGATAAATCTGGAGGAATGTTTCGGGAGTAGTTGCGGAAATCTATGAGGGAAGAAGATCTGGCAGAAGATCTAGCGGAAGATCTGGCGGAAGGTCTGACGGAAAATCTAGCGGAAAAACTGGCGAAAGGTCCCGCGGAAAATCTGGAGGATAAATCTGGCGGAGGATCTGTCGTAAGATCTGGCGGAAGATCTGCCAGGATATCTGACGGAAGATCTTGAAGAAGATCTGGAGGATAGATCTGGTGGAGAATATAGCGGAGGATCTGGCGGAAGATCTCGCGGAAGAACTGGAAGAAAATCTGGAGGAAGATCTGGCGGAAGACCTGGCGGAAGATCTTGCGGAAGATCTGGCGGAAGATCTGGCGGAAGATCTGGAGGATGAAACTGGCGGAACATCTGGAGGAAGATCTGGCGAAAGATGTGGAATATAACTCTGGAGGAAACTCTGGCGGAAGATCTGCCGGAAGATCTCGCGGAAGATCTAGCGGAAGATATGGCGGAAGATCTCGCGTAAGATCTGGAGAAATATCTGGCGGAATATCTGGAGGAAGATATGGTGAAAGATCTGGCGAAAAATCCCGCGGAAAATCTAGCAGAAGATCTGCCAGAAGATCTGGCGGAAGATCTTGAGGAAGATCTGGCGGAGGATCTGGAGAAAGGTCAGGCAGAAGATCTGGAGGATAGATCTGGCGGAGAATATAGCGGAAGATCAGGCGGAAGATCTAGCGGAAAATCTGGCGTAAGATCTGCCGGAAAATCTGGCGTAAGATCTGCCGGAAAATCTGGCGTAAGATCTGACAGAAGATCTGGAGGAAGATCTGGCGAAAGATCTGGCGGAAAATCTGGAGGAGGAGGAGAGGAGGAGGAGGAGGAGGATGGGGGAGAAGAAAGAGGAGGAGGAGGAGGAGGAAGAGGAGAAGGAGGAGGAGGAGGGAGGGAGGGAGGAGGGAGGAGGGAGGAGGAAGATCTGGGGGAAAAGCTAGGTGGAGATCTGGGGGAAAAGCTTGGGGAAGATCTGGACGAAGATTTAGGGGCTCCTGCTCTTCCACCGCCTCCTCCTCCTCCTTCTCCACTTCTTCCTCCTCCTCGTCCTGCTACACCTCCTTCTCCTCCTGTTCTTTCGCAAAATATTCCTCCAGAGCTTCTGCCGGAGCTTCCGCCAGATCTTCCGCCAAGCTTCTCCTCCAAATCTTCCTCCTAATCTTCCGCCAAATCTTCCTCCAAATCTTCCACCGGAACTTCCGCTAGATCTTCTGCGACATCTTCCGCCAAATTCATATTCCAAATCTTCCGCCAGATCTTCCCCTATCTTCCGCCAAATTTATCCTTCAAATATTCCGACAAATATTCCGCCACATCTTCCGCCTAATCTTCCTCCAAATCTTCCGCCAAATCTTCTGGCATATTGATCCCCCAAATCTCCCGCGAGATCTTCCGCCAAATCTTCCGCCAAATCGTCCGCCAAATCTTCGGCCAAATCGTTCTCCAAATGTTCCGTCAAATATTCCGCCAGATCTTCCGCCAATTCTTCCGCTATATGTATCTTCCGCAAAATTGATACTCCAACTCTCCCGCGAGATCTTCCGGCAAATCTTCTGCAAAATGTTCCGCCAAATCTTCCGCCAGATCTTCCGCATATGTTCCTCCAAATCTTCCGCCAACTTTATCTTCCAGATTTTCCGCCTGATCTTCCGCCAGATCTCAGATCTTTCGCCAGATCTTCCGCCAGATCTTCCGCCATATCTTTCCCCAGATCTTCCTCCCTCGGATTTTCCCGCAGATCTTCCCCAAAATATTTCTCCAACTTCATCGCTTTCCAACCTCCGCGAGGGGGAGGAGGAGAGGAGGAGGAGGAGGAGGGGGAGGAGGAGGAGGAGGAGGAGGAGGGGGAGAAGGAGGAGGAGAAGGAGGAGAAGGGAGAGGAGGAGGAAGAGGAGGTGGGGGAAGATAGCCGTGACCATTTTCTAAACTAGGTTTTCGACTATCACTCGCGCGATGACGGCAGGGCATGAAACAAAATAAGGAAGATTAAACATATGATTTTAGAGTTGGTCCACGAGACTGAAGCCGGGCATGCCCGTCTAGTTTTTGAACTCCCTGTACACATATATGTATATAGTTATATGTATATATACATACATTTGTGTGCAAACGTATGTATGCCATGATCGTCCGTCGCCTCCGACTTCTGTTTCTGTCCCTTCCCACCTCCTCTCACACATCGCCCTTTCCCCTCCCACTCTCCCATCTCTACCACCCTTCCCGTTCTCATCCACACCCTCATTCCCTTTCCTCCCTCGCCTCCTCCTCCTCCTCTTCCTCATTCTCCCCCCGTTGTCCTCCCAATCCTCGGCTGCCCCTCCTTCCCCCCGATCGCCTCCGCCCTCGCTTGCCCTCCTCGCCCTCGCCTGCCCCTCGCCCTCCTCCGCCCTCTCCGCCCTCTTCGCCCTCGCCCTCCTCGCCCTCGTCCTCCACTGCCCGCCTCGACCTTGCCCAGCTCGCCCTCGCCCTCGGCCACCACGCGATCGCCACCGCCTCGACTTCGTCTGCTCCGCCCACCGCCCCCCCCCTTCCCCGGGGGGATCGACGCCTCCCGGAGAGCCTTCCGGAGCTGCTCCAGGCCAGCCACCGGCGCCTATCTCTCGCTTTCTCGCGCTCAAGCATGTGTGTCTGCATTGTGTGCAGATACATGGAAAAAAGAGAATAACAAATACCGGCATCGGCAAACAGAAAGAAAGAAAGAGAGAGCACAACAGCCTGAGAAAGACAGAGGCAAAGATAGCAAAACAAATCGAGTAGAGTCGAGAAAGTCATATATATATATATATACACATATGTATAGGTGTGTGTGTGCGTGTTTACATGTATATAGAACTGCATGTAAAGGGAGGGATCGACGGAATAGCGAGCACACAGGGACAAAGCCGCGAAGACACGCCAGAGTAGCACCGATAGCGGTGGGACGGGGATCGGAGAGGAGAGCAACGAGATTGGGAAAGGGACGGCGGGAGAGAGGACGGGGGAGGAGACGGAGAGGCGAGACGAGAGGGGGCGGAGGGGATGGGGGGAGAGACGTGGGCGAGAGGGGGCGGGAAGGGGGGGGGAGGACACGAGGAGGGGAACAGGGCGGGAAGGACGGAGGAAAGAAGAGAAGGGCGGAGGATACGAGGGGGTGTGAGAGAACAGGGGCAGGGGCACGGAGAGGAGTGGGAGGACAGGAGGTCCAGCTGGCAAGGAGGGGGTGATGTCGAGACCGACGGAGAGGGCGACGTCGGAGCCGACGGAGAGGAGGAAGAAGGCGAGGAAGGGGAGGAGTCAGAGAAATAGGCCAGGGAGGAGGAAGGGGGCGGGAGAAGGAGCACAATGACGGGACGAGAACTGCGAGGGAAAAGAGGACGGAGAAGAACGCAATCGGGAGGAGGGGGGGAAACCGGAATGCAGGCAATGAGGAGTGCAGAATGCGGAGGCAGCTGCTCGACGCTGCTGCGCCGTAGTCGCGAAACTCGAACCGCGAGGCAACTACTCGTTGGCTTGGTCACGTTTCCAAAGTTGGCACTGCGAGAGCGAGCGGCGACAAGCGGTAAAACGGCAGGCAAACAAAACAACATGCAAGCAACTCGCCTGCCCGCAAGGATGAGCCGTGGTCCAACGCGCAAGGTCCAGGGAGTAGCGAGCACGACGGCCATCGAGCACCACGCGCGAAGAGAGAACAATACACAGAGAGACGCCCCGCGAGCACTTTGCATTGCTGCTTGACACGGACGGCGGGGGGGGGGGACATTGCCTGCTGTGCAATGCCAACACCCCCCACTAGCCCTTGCAACGAAAATACGAAGCGCACGCTGCACCAATATTCTGCGGAGCGCCCGCCATGTTGCCTGCTGTGTGCAGGCCCACCATCCCTGTCAAAACAGGTGCGAAGTGATTGCGCGCGCACACACGCAATACACAATGCTGGCAAACCCGCCATCACTGCGCATTGGCTTCTGACAGGGATGGTGGGGGTGGACATATTGCCCAATGTGGCAAACCTGGCACGTGCGGCGCACCTGGTGCGAGTGGCCCACCTCGCATGTGCGGCGCACCTCGCGTGCGTCGCGCACCTGGCTGGCGTCTGCGTTGCTTCCATTTGGTTGTCGATCTCGGCCTCTACCTATGCTGAGACTCGGGTGTTACTTCTGCAACGGAAAAGCAGGTGGGAGCGAACGAGAAAGTTCGCGGCGCTCCCGCTAGGAACTTGACCCCTCCCCCGTCCCCCCTCCCCTGGACCTGGACTGGGCGCCCCGCGACCGATTGGAGAGTCCAAGAAGGCCTCGGCGAGATGGCACAAACCGCTGTCCTTCCTCGGGTGTTGGCACCATATTGGCGTCGCGGGGGGGACCCCAATTGGGCACCCCCCCCCCTCTTTGATGAACTCCTCCAAGATGGCTGGCCCCAAGGTGGCCCCTCATGCTCCCAAGTGTGCCCAGGGTGGCCCGAAGAGGCGTCCAGAAGGGCCCAAAAGGCCACCAAGAGGCTCCTAAGAAGCCCCCAAGGGGACCCCAGAGGCTCCCCCGAGGCACCCAGAGACGCTCCAAGAGGCCCCGGGACTCCCCAAGGGGACTCCAAGAGGATTTCAAGAGGCATCCAAAGAGACTCCGAGAGGCATCCAGGAGGCCTCTGCCATTCTGCTTGCTCCGTTTGTTTCTCTTCCTCCATCCTTCCGTCTCCCCCTCCCCTTTTCCCCTCCTCCTCCTCCTTCTCTTCCTCCTCCTCCTCCTCCTCCTCCTCCTCCTCCTCCTCCTCCTCCTCCTCCTCCTCCTCCTCCTCCTCCGATTCCTTCTCCATCCTCCCCCTCTTGGGGTATGACGGCTTCCCCAGCCCTTTCTTCCACTGCGTGCTCCTCCACATCCCTGATCAAGTTAACTCGTCTGGGCATCGTTTCTGGATGGGCTAGTGGGTTCTTTGTTTTTGGTTCGCGGTTCCAAGGAGAAGCCCAGGGAGCGGGCACAACGTCCGGGGCGCGGTACGATGTAAATTGGCCGCAGTGGCGTATGCACATGCCAGGGACAAAATGCCCCTCAGTGAGACGCAGACAGCGTCAGCGGGTGACCGGCACAGAGGCGCGGTAACCGGCGGTGGAACGGAGGGGAAAAGTCGCACTTGCGGCGCCAAACTCCAGCCGACCCACATACGGAGGAGAGGCCAGGACAAGCGGCGAGGCACAGTGCAGAACGAGGGTCCGAATGGCCATTGCCAAGCGAAGCCTGCATGCTAGGGCACAGTGCCGGGCAGACCACGGCCACGGAAGGGGGTGAGAAAGAGCGAAAGCGAGCGACAACCACAGGCACACTGCGGTACCATGAGTAACGATGGGGCGGCAAGAGGGGCCTGTCTCATCAAGGCTCACTGAAGCTACAAGGTAGCTGATCCGCGTCGAAGCCATTCCGTAGACGAAACCACTGGTGTGCGCTCACGAGGCTGAGCCACCTTCAGCCGAAGCCAGTGCGTGCACACCGTATCCGACTCTCGCAGTTCGGGGGCAAAACGATGTAAAGTACTGACGGGGGCTGTGCAGACTGCTCTGCAAGGGGAACGACCACATACTGCAGACGGCTGAACCACTCAAAGCAGGGCCACTCCCAGGACGAGGCCAGACATCGGGTGTCACCGAGTGTATGGCTGACGGCAGCGCCCGACCCACGCTTCAGGCCGGTAGCCAGTGCGTGCGCATAGTCTCCGACTCATGCAGTACGGGGGCGCAACGATGCAAGGTACCGACGAGGGCAGGTGGCGGCTAGTGGGTTACGCGAAGCGTCTAGAATCACATGTATCGATTTGTGCGTGTCGTCCATGCGTAGGCGCCATGTTGATATTCTCTGCATCGCTCCGCCGTTAACGGATGATCCCGGCAGGAATCAAAGGGGACGGAGGAGGGAGGAGGAGGGAACGAGAACAGGAGGGCGGAGAGTCGGACCAGCAACACACTCATCGCCAGAGGAGTGGGAGGAGGGAAGAGGGACAAGGAAGGCAGACGAGCGTGGAAGGAGGGCGGGAGGGAGGGAGAGAGGAGGGAGGGAGGGAGGGAGGAGGGAGGGACGGAGCGAGGGAGAGCGAGGAGGGAGGGAGGGAGAGAGGAGGGGGAAACAGGAGGAGGAGCGGAGAGGAGAAGGCGGAGGAGGAGGAGAGGAGGAGGAGGAGGAGAGGAGGAGTGGAAGGCCATGAAGGGGGAGGAGAGGAGGAGGAGGAGGAGAGGAGGGAGAGGAGGAGAGGAGGGAGGAGGAGGAGGAGGAGGAGGAGGAGGAGGAGGATCAGCAGCGCGCTCCGCGCGCAGGGGGGCCCCGAACCTCGTTGGAGGCGCCATCGTCGGACTTCTTGATCCTCTGGGCGGTGGCTGCATCCAAGGCGGCTGCCGACATGCTCGGAGACCGCGGCGGGGAGCTAAAGGGAGGGGGAAGGGGAGGGGGGAAGGGGAGGGAGGGGGAGGGCGGAAGGGAGGGGGAGGGCGGGAGGGCGGAAGGGGAGGGGGGAGGAGCAGGAGAAGGGGGGGAGAGGAGGGGGAGGGGGAAGGGGAGGAGGTGGAGGTGGAGGTGGAGGAGGAGGAACCGATCTAAGACGCATGGCTAGATGGGCATATCGTTTGTCTCTCGGACGGAGCACTACGACAAGGAGGCGTCAGCAACCGTGCCGTCGTCCGATCGTCCCGGTTTGACTGCGAACTTCGCTCAGAGATCTGCGTACACCTAGCCGTTGCTTGTGCCACCTGGCTAACATCCTCCTCCCAGCCTTGCTTGTGTGGATGACCCTTCCGCCTGCCGTCTGCCCAGGACCTGTCCAGGAGCGCGGTCTGTCCAGGACTCCGAGACGGATCCGGCCGTGGCGACGAGGCCCCCCCCCCGGGCAACGGAAGAGAGCGCACAGCACAGAAGTCCACCGCCAAAGGAGCCGCACGGGGTGCACAAAGTATGCACCAACGGCACGACTATCAGGACATCGGAGGTCCGCGCGGAGTGCTCGCGTCGGTGCTGGAACCCCTCCTGACACCCTCAGGCGGCGCCTCCAGCGAGCTTCGTGCGCAAAGGGTGTGGGGCAGGTTGTGCGCCGCCTACCCAAGACATCCGCGTGGACCCCCGAAAACGCAGCCAGCCCGTATCATACGGATGCGCGCTAAGGATGCGGGCCTTGGACGCCCATATCGAAGCTTTTCGAGCGGGGCGCGGCCAACGAAAGCGGCCAAGGATGGACCGAGGAGGCAAGGGTGCAAGGGTACCCTTCGGAAGGTTGCCCATCCTTACTGTGCGGGTGGACTGCATGTGCTCTTTCGCTGTTCTCTGAGGCCGGCCGCCTTTTTGCGACGGCCCGGCGCACCCTGCGGCTTTGACCTTCTTCGGCGAGGCCGTGGCTCCGCCAGCGCCCCCGCCGTCCAGGCCTCGCGGCACCGCGCCGGGGAGCAGGCTTGCATTGGCGATGACGGCCGAGAGGCTGCGTCGGGCGCGCGCGCACTGCGAGCCGACCCCCTCCATCCTCCTCGTCCTCCCTCCCCTCCCAGCCCATCCCCCTCGCCACCCTCCCTCCCCATCCTCCTCGTCCTCCTCCCCCTCTCGGTACTCCTCGTCCTCCTCTTGCGACGGGTGTGGACATGAGAGGCCCGAGGGGGCCAAGAGCGAAGAGCATCTCTCGAAACGCACCCAAACCGTAGCCCTTCTGCACGCGGGACGTCTATTATTGCTAACGCCTCACATGCTTGCGACATACGCAACACCCAGGAAGGCGACGCAATGTCAGGTCAAGCGCGTCGCACACCTGCGCAACATACTGTAGAATGGGGGACAGCAGTGGAGGAGGAGGAGGAGGAGGAGGAGGAGGAGGAGGAGAAGGAAGAGCATGAGGAAGAAGAAAGGAGGGCAAGGAGGATTGAGAGGGAAGAGGGAGACACGCCGGTGAGAGTAACAGCGTCGAGCGCTACATCTGCTCGGTTCTCCCGCGTTGCCGCTGCAGGGGACAAGCGCCAGAGGGGGGGGGCCACTGAGGACAACGCCATGCGCTAAGTGACGCTCCGGCGCCGCCCTGCGCTCTGTGATGCAACAGCGCCGCGCGTTGACTCAGTCAGCCACCAAGTTCCGTCTGGGTCCGCACGCCCCCAGATTCAGCTGGACCTCCCAGGAGCCCACGAAGATTGTGACGGTTGCGCAATTCTTAGACACCCAGGCAGCAGCGAGGTCCCGTCTGGGTCCGCGTGCCCCCCGGGCTCCGCTGTACCCGTCTGGAGCCCACGAAAATGGTGATAATTGCACGATTCGCAGCCACCCAGGGAACAGCGAGCTCCCGTCTGAGCCCGCGTGCCCCACGATTCCGATGGACCCCCGAGAGCCCACGAAAATCAACAATCGCCCAATTTGCAACCACCCAGTGAGCAGCGAGGTCCCGTTTGGGCCCGCGTGCCCCACGACTCCGCTGGACCACCCAGGAGCCCACGAAACTGGCCGCGTGGCCCCAGACTCCGGCGGACCTCCGAGGAACCAGCGAAAGGGGGTGATAGGTGCGCAGTTCGCAACCACCCAGGGAGCAGCGAAGTACCCTCTGGGCCAGCGTGGCCCCCGCTTCCGCTGGAACTCCGAGGCACCAACAGAAGCGGTGACAATTGCGCGATTTGCAACCACTCAGGGGGCAGCGGAGCTCCCGTCTGAGTCCGCGCGCCCCACGTCTCCGATGAACCTCAGCGGAACCAACGAAGCGGGTGACAGTTGCGCATGTCGCAGCCACCCGGGGAGCAGCGAGGTCCCGCCTGGGTCAACATTGCCCCGAGTCTGTTGGACCCACAAGAACCCACAAAATGACGATGTCCCGTCTGGGTCCGCGCGACCCCCGACTCCGCTGGACGTTCCCATCATCCCCGTTTTCCTATTGTGACGGGTGTGGAAATGAGAGGACCAGAAGGGGGCCAAGACTGAAGGACGCTACCCGGAACGTGCCCAACTCATTCTTCTGCACGTGAGGCAACTAATGATGTAACCGCTTCATACACAAGAAAACATTCGGAAAGACGCATGCAATGTCGGGCCATACACATAAACCGCGTCATACACAGTGAACACTCGGAAAGACGATGCGATGTCGGGCCACACACGTCGCACACCAGCGCAACAAAGAACGGGTGACAAAGGTGGAGGAGGAGGAGGAGGAAGGAGGAGGAGGAAGAAGAGGAGGAGGATCAGTAACAAAAAGAGCAGGAGGAGGAGGAGGAGGAGGAGGAGGAGGGAGACACGATGGTGAGAGTATCAACGCCATGCACTACATGTGCTCGGTTCGCCCATGCTGCCGCTGCAGGTGCAGGGCGCCTGAAGGGGGGGGGGGGGGGGGGGAAAGGCCACTGAGGACAGCGCCGTGCGCTACGTGACGCTCCAGCGCCCTCCGCTCCGTGGTGCCACAGCCCCGCGCTGACCGAGGTCAGCCGCACAAGCAGCAGCGAGGTCCCGTCTGGGGCCGCATGCCCCCCGACTCCGCTAGACCTCCCAGGCACCAACAGAAGTGATGACAACTTCGCGATCCGCAGCCATCCAGGGAGCAGCGAGAGCCTCCGTCCGAGCCCGCGCCCAGCCGACTGCGCCGGACGCCCCAAGGGCCACCGCACGCGGTGCTGGCTGCCGAGTTCGCAGCCATCCGGAGAGCAGCGAGGTCCCGTCTAGGCCCGTGCAGTTCGCAGCCCCCCAAACCGCCACCGTGCCGCTGGGCACGGACGGAGCGTGTCCTCGGGTCCTTTGCCCAATCCCCTCAGCTTCAGTCCCCAGTCCTAAGGAGTTTCTTTGGGGCCCGGGCGAAAAGTTCACAAATCTCTTGGGCCTTCCCGCGTGCCCTCTGATGCGTGGCGCGTCTTGTCGCGTGACTTTCCGGGTCCAAAAAAGCCCTAAGACAGGCCAAGAGGACTCCCAGAGGCCCCCAAAACGGTCCAAGAGGGCCTCGAGTCGCCAAACGACCGCTCCAAGACGCTCAAGATGGCCCCAGACGGCCCAAGAGGCCTCAAAGATCCTCAAAGAGGCCTCCGAGAGGCCTCCAAGCGCTTCCCAAGAGGACTCCAAGAGGCCAACATCAGTGATTGTTTATAGGTGTTTGAAATATTTGGGCGTTCTCGCCTTCTCGGCTGCCCCTCGCTCCCAAACGGCCCTCGAAGCCCCCAAGACCGTCCAAAGACGGCCCAAGAGGCATCCAAAAAGGCCCCCGAACGGACCAACGGGGCTCCAAGACAGCCCAAGAGGCGCCCAAAGGCCCAAGAGGGCCCCAAGACGGCCCTACAAGGGGCCCCAAAGAGAAAACACGAACCGAAAATCCGAGCCTGCCGGCCCAAAAGAAACCTCAGGAGGCCCCAAGAGGCGCCCAGGAGACCCTAAGAGGCCCCCAAGAGGCCCCAAAAGGCCCCCAAGAGGCCCAAAAGAGGCCCCACGAGGCTCCCAAAAGGCCCCCCAAGAGGCGTCCAAACTGCCTCCAAAAGGCCCCCGAGAAACCTCCCACGAGATCCAACGAACATCTAATAGGCTTCACCCCCACAACCCAGGCACGGTGGCGGGAAGGGCCAAAGGCTACTGGATAGGAAGATGTACGAGCAAGGGAGGCAAGGAGGCAGGAGACGAGAGGAGAAGGGAGATGAGTGAGGAGGCAGGAGGAGGGATAAGAAGGAGGAGCAGTAGGAGGGGGAGTGGAGACAGCCGTGCTCCGCGTATGCAAAACGAGAACCCGCCAGGAGGGCTGGGACAACACACCTGCCCCTTCTCCATCGGGTTCGTGAAAGCCTGCTTCATGAAGTTCTCCAGCACCCTCGTCCCAAGCTGGGCATCATGCTGGGCACCAAGGTTGTGAAGTCGCTTGCCATCAATCTCAGGCGCCTTCGATTTCAACGAGGGCAGTTTGCTGTTCAACAAAAGCCTTGCGGGCCAGTATACCCAAATTGGGCAAGATCGTTCAGCACGTCTGCCTCTAGGTGGCAAATGGCCAGGTCGCGGGGCTCGTCTGGCCCCTCCCCACAGCGTTGGCCTCAGCAGCGTAGCGGCGACATGCGCATGGGACGAGACAGCCGGGAGGGGCAGCACTCATCCCTCCTCCCTCTTCCCATCTGTCTCTTAGTGTGAAGAGGGGGATTCAGAATTGGCACGACGGGTTCGTACCGTGAAGATCCCAGCGTTGGCTTCTGACACCGCGTGGACCGTTCAATGTTCAACGATCGGCGGCTTCTCGAAACCCAGATCGTTCCATACTGGTCGCTTCCGTTCCACTGGCGGCCTTCCACCTCGAGCGCCCACGGCGGGGTCGCCGCCGCGTCAGCACAACACAAACCTGCCGCTTGTGCGGAGCCCCGTCCCTCTCCACACCCACCCGAGGACTCGCAACACCACGACATCAGGGCCTCGATGCCGATCCTGGGCTTACTTTGACAAGAGCCAAGGCAGGCGGTCATGGGAGAGCAGTGCAGAGCGGAGCGAGCCGACGTCAGGCATAGACGTCGGTAGGGCCTCATCGTGCACGGTCGACAGGTCCACGTGGGCACAGCCAGCGGACAGGTAGTCATCCTTCTCATGATTGACGTTGCACGGAGTAGGGTCGGATGGACCCGAATCGTCTGTCCTCATCCTCCCTCCCTTCCTCCCTCTTCCTGAATCCTCGTCCTCCTCCCTCCCTCCCTCCCTCATCCCGCTCCTGCTCCTCCCTCGCTCCTGTCTCCTCTCCTCATCGTGCTCCTCCTCTTCCCCCACCTCCTCCACCTCCTCCTCCTCCTCTTCCCCCACCTCCTCCACCTCCTCCTCCTCCTCCTCTTTTTGACGTTCATCAGACATGAAGAACTCCTCCTCTTCCTCCTCCTCCTCCAGCTCCTCCTCCTCCTCCTCCTCCTCCTCCTCCTCGGAGCGAGGGGTGCACGAACGGTCTTACTCCAGCCCTGCGTGCGCGTACGGTGCGATCGGGGCCTCGGCCCAGGTGCGGGCGCGCTGTGCGGGCACGCGGCACGATGTGCGGACGCGCTGCGTGGGCGCTCTGCGCGGCTGCACTGCGCGAGTGCACTGCGCGGGGGCACTGTGCGCGCTGACGCGGTGCACGCGCTGATGGGCGAGCGTATAATCCGCAAGTTCGGGGTGCCACGTCTTCCTCCTGATCCTGCTCCCCCCCCTCCCGCGACGCAACCAGCCCGCGACGGCGACGGCGGCACGCCCGCGACGCCGACGGCGACCAGAGGCCCAGTGCCCAGTGCCGACGAGAGAGGCGCGCGGCCCAGAGCGGGGGGGGAGGGCCCAGCTGCCGACGCAAGGCGTTCACGTGCTGGCCCGAGGACCGCCCGGCCTCAGGCAGGGGGGCGGTGTGTGTGTGTGCGTGTGCGTGTGCGTGTGCGTGTGTGTGTGTGTGTGTGTGTGTGTGTCTGTCTGTCTGTCTGTCTGTCTGTCTGTCTGTCTGTCTGTCTGTCTGTCTGTCTGTCTGTGTGTGTGTGTGTGCGTGTGCGTGTGCGTGTGCGTGTGCGTGTGCGTGTGCGTGTGCGTGTGCGTGTGCGTGTGCGTGTGCGTGTTTGCGTGTGTGTGTTTGTGCGTGTGCATGTGTGTGTGCGTGTGTGGAAGTGTGTGTGTGTGTGCGTGTGTGTAAGTGTAAGTGTGTGTGTGTGTGCGTGTGTGTGTGTGTGTGTCTGTCAATGTGTGTGTGCTTGTGCGTGTGTGTGTTTGTGCGTCGTGCGTGCATGGTTTGTGCGTTGTGTTGCGTGTGCGTGTGTGCGGTTGTGCGTTGTGTTTGTGGTTGTGTGTGTGCGTTGTGTGCGTTTGTGCGTGTGTGCGTTGTGCGCGTGTGTGCGTGTGTGAGTGTGTGCGTGTGTGCGTAGTGTGTGCGTGTGCTGTGTGTTGTGCGTGCGTGTGTGTGCGTGTGTGCGTGCGTTGTGCGCGTGTGCGCGTAAGCGTGCGTGCGCGTGAACGTGTGCGTGCGCGCGTGTGCGCGCGTGCGCGTGTGCGCGTATGCGCGTGTGCGTGTGTGCGCGTGTGAGCGTGTGCGCGTGCGCGTGTGCGCGTGGTGCGTTGTGCGTTGTGCGTGCGTGTGTGCGTGTGTGCGTGTGTGCGTGCGTGTGCGTGTGCGTGTGTGCGTTGTGTGTTGTGTGTGTGTGTGGTGTGCGTGTGTGCGTGTGTGCGTGTGTGTGCGTGTGGTGCGTGCGTGCGTGTGTGAAGGTGCGTGTGTGTGGTGTGTTGTGGGGGGCGTGGTGTGCGTGCGTGCGTGCGTGTGCGTGTGCGGGTGCGTGTGCGGGTGCGTGTGCGTGTGCGTGTGTTGTGTGTCGTGTGTGTGTGCGTGTGTGTGTGAGTGTGCGTGTGTGCGTGCGCGTGTGTGTGTGTGTGCGTGTGTGCGTGAGCGTGTGTGCGCGTGTGCGCGTGTCTGTGTGTGCGCGTTTGCGTGTGCGCATGCGTGTGCGTGTGCGTGTGCGTGTGCGAATGCTCGTGCGTGTGCGTGTGTGTGTGTGTGTGTGTGTGCGTGTGCATGTGCCTACGCGTGTGCGTGTGTGTGTGTGTGCGCGTGTGCGCGTGTGTGTGCGTGTGCGTGGGTGCGTGTGTGTGTGTGTGTCTGCGTGCGCGTGTGTGCCTGTGTGTGCGTGTGTGCGTGTGCGCGTGCGTGCGCGTGTGCGTGCGGTGTGCGCGTGTGCGTGTGTGTGTGCGTGTGCGTGCGTGTGGGTCTGTGTGTCTGTGTGTCGGTGTCTGTGTGTCTGTGTCTGTATGTGTGTGTGACTGTGTGTCTGTGTGTGTCTGTGTGTTCCTGTGTGTCTGTGTGTCTGTGTGTCTGTATGCGTGTTGTGTGGTTGCGTGGTTATGTGGCTGTGCGTTCGTGCGTGTGCGCGTGTGCTGCGTTTGTGCGTGTGCGCGTATGCGCGTGTGCGCGTGTGTGCGTGTGTGCGTGTGCGTTTGCGCGCGTGTGTGCGTGTGCGTGTGTGTGCGTGTGCGTGTGTGCGTGTGCATTTGCGCGCGTGTGTGCGTGTGCGTGTGCGTGCGTGTGCGTGTGTGCGTGGGTGCGTGTGTGCGTGTGTGCGTGTGTGCAGGTGTGCGTGCGTGCGTGTGTGCGCGTGTGTGTGTACGTGAGTGTGCGCGCGTGCGTGCGAGCGTGTGTGCGTGTGTGCGTGTGTGCGTGTGTGCGTGCGTGTGTGCGTGTGTGCGTGTGTGTGTGTGCTTGTGCGTGTGCGTGTGCGTGTGCGTGTGTGCGTGTGTGTGTGTGCGTGTGTGTGTGCGCGTATGTGTATGTGTGTGCGTGTGTGCGTGTGTGCGTGTGTGCGTGTGTGCGTGTGTGCGTGTGTGCGTGTGTGTTTCTGTGTGTGTGTGCGTGTGTGTGTGTGTGCGCGTGGGGGTGCGTGGGTGCGTGCGTGCGTGCGTGCGTGCGTTAGTGCGTGCGTGCGTGCGTGTGTTTTGTGTGTGGTGTGTGTGGTGTGTGTTGTGTTGCGTTGCTTGCGTTGCGTTGCGTGTGAGTGTTGTGTGTGTTGTGTTGTGTAGGTGCGTTGTGTCTCGTATTGTGTTGTGTTGTGTTGTGTTGTGTTGTGTTGTGTTGTGGTGTGTTGTGTTGGGTTGGGTTGTGCTGTGTTGGTTGTGTGTGTGCTCTGTCTCCCTCTGGCCAGCTCCCAGCTCCCTTATGCTCCCTCCACTCCTCCTCCTCCTCCCTCGACTCCTACTCCACCTCCCCCTCCTCTCTGCTCCCTCCTCCTCCTCCACCTCCTCCTCCTCCTCCTGGTCCTCCTCCTCCTCCTCCACTCCTCCTACTCCTCCTACTGCCCCTTTTATCTGTTCCCACCTCCTCCTCCTCCAACTCCAATTCCAACTCCAACTCCGACTCCAACTCAAACTCCAACTCCAACTCCACACCTCCCTCCCTCCCTCCCTCAACCCTCCCTTCTCCTCCGACTTCCGCTCCGGCCTCCCCCCCTCCCTCCCTGCTCCTGTTCCCTCCTCCTCTCCTCATCCTCCTCCTCCGCGTCATCATAATCCTCTCCTGCCCCTTCCTCCTCCACCTCCTCCGTCCTCCTCCTCCTCATCCCTCCTCCTCCTCCTCCTCCCTCCTCCTCCTCCCTCCTCCTCTCTGCCCTTTTCCTCCTCCTCCTCCTCCTCATCCTCTCCTCTCTCCTCCTCCTCCTCCTCCCCCTCCTCCTCCTGCTCTCCTCCTCCTCATCATCCTCCTCCTTCTCCTCCTCCTCCTCCTCCTCCTCCTCCCCATCGTCCTTCTCCTCCTCCTCCCTTTATCCCTCCTCGTCCCTCCTCGCCTTTTCCATCCCTCCTTCCGCTCCTGCTCCTCCTCCCTCCTCCCGCCCCCCCCCTCCTCCCACCTGCCCCCCTACTCCCCCCCCTCCTCCCGCATTTGAGGATGGGGGGAGGGGAAAGAGGTGGAAAGAGCCAGGGGGTGGAGGATGACTGGGGGGAGGAAGAAAAGGAGAGGAGGAAGAGGAGAGGGGCGAACGGGGCGCAGCAGCCGGCCAGCAGCAGCACCAGCAGCAGGATCTCGGCACCCCTGCTACCCCCCGACCAACTCCTCAGACTTCCGACGCCGCATACTTGTCAACACCTGCCCTCAAGACCTCACAACTGCCGCCGAATTGTCGTGCTTGCTCTGTTGTGGACGGCCCCAGAGCCCGAAAGCGGCCCACGGAAACAAACCTGACGAACTACCTCCGTCTTTGATGCTGCTCCAGACTGTAGAGGTTTGGGCCATCCTCCTTTACAATTTCCCCCCCCTCCCTGGACCTGTCTGGAAGGGAACATGGGCTTCAAAAGGAGTCCAGCCCATGGCGACGAGAAACCTCCTGGAGGCTTCTGAAGGGCGAAGAGCACACCAAAACTTACACCGACACATGGGGGTGTCTTCACCAGGGGGAGATGATCTTAGATGTTGGTGCTGGTGGTAAACTCTCGGCCACCCATGACCCCAGATGTCCTCGCTTTCACCGACAGCTGAATGTTTTTCCCTGGGTGGGGGTAACAGCCGATCTTGGTGTTGGTGCCAACCTCTAGGCCTCCGAAAACCTCCACCCCCTCCCCCCGTCCATCAAGAGAGCGCCGAAGCGGGCCGGGCGGCGCGCGAGAGGCGACGGGGGCGAGGGGGGGGGGGACCTCCCGAGAGGGCAGTGGGCTCTTCCGAAGGGCTCGGGGGCTTCCTGTGGGCTGCGAAGGCCCCCCCTGCCTTCCTGGAAGGCCCCCCCCCCTCACGCCGCCCCCGGCCCAAAGGCCCTCGGGACTGGCCCCGGACCCCCCCCCCCCGGGGGCCCCAGCCCGGCCCAGCTCTCCGAGCCGCGGCCCGCCGTGGCCGCGAGAGCCTCCAGGACATGCCCCAGAGCAGAGCCGAACAGACAGCAACAGAACGACGACGACGACGACGACGACGACGACGACGACGACGACGACGGCGGCGGCGACGACGACGACGACGACGACGGCGACGATGACGACGACGGCGACGATGACGACGACGGCGACGATGACGACGACGGCGACGATGACGACGGCGATGAAAGCGGCCACGACGCGGCGGGCCCCGGAGGGGCCCACAGGCCTCGCCCATGGAGAAAACGAAGTATGCCGCTACCGCTGCACTCCCCGGACCTCTCGCCCCTACCCCCTACACCTCTCTAGCCAGAGCTCTA